TAAAATATGCACACACGCTGTAGCATATATATTATATGCATAGCTGTACACGAATATAGAAAAATGGTTTATAGAGACGCAATTTCTATGTGCCAGTTCAACCTAGTCGACCTATAGTCGATATTATATGGTACATATACTATACGAACAATACCCTTGGTATATATAACGTAACTAACATAATAATGACAATAATGCATATTATTACATTAATATAATATATTACTATGATGGTGACAACGACGACGTAGGTGCCGCGACGATTTCGGATACGCAAAAATCCTGCACTGGACGTCCTTGCAGTGAGCCTCAATTCCGTTTGGAACTGAACGGCCTGTAAAAATTATTGAACGTTGACATTTCGAAGTCTGCCGTGGAACTATTGTATAATATTACATTAGGTACTGTAATGCACTAAGAATATATACTTATGTTCATATAAGATGTATTATATATTTATGTATAGACCTGTAATGRCCGTGTCCTCAGCCCTCAGGTGACTGTAACAAGGCTTTTATATGCCAGCTAAATGCAGACGCCGAGGACGAGTCACATAGAACGCACTTACGCACGTACGCACTTTGACTACAATTTAATTTATACTTTATRTTCGTGTAAATTTACCTTTAACATTATAATATTTATACAATTTATTARTAACGTTTTTGTCACTTCACTCGAACGTTTTCAATGTGCGCCTATAGGTGGTATATACGATTGAATAGGTCATGAAATTTATTATACTCTGTACACTCGTATGACATAATAAACTCGTACCCATTATACATAATATTATATCGTAAAGTAGGCATAATAATAATATGATACGTATAATACCCACCTGTTTGTAGAAATATCAGCATATACAGCTGTAAAYATTGAATGGAGGTGGTGCGATAAAGTACCGCGCAGGTTAAAGCTTAGGTTCGGTTTTTTATGCTAGAATATTTTTATGCCATATAAAGGTACGCTGGATATGGGTGGCCGTGTTGCACAGAGAACAGATAGATGCGAATAGAAACGATGAATAAAATACAATGTAGTTATTGGTGGTGCAATATTGTCAATTACATAATATTATTATGTAAAATGTAAACATGATAATATTATTATAAATTATTATATATTATTCACTATAATTACATTCGAAAATATGATTTTCATCTCTAATGTGTTTTTACAAAGTATGTCGGGAATAATATATTACGATTTGAGTGACATTGAGTATACTTGCAGCTAATTTATGTAAAAAGTTAGTTTCGAAAATGTTTATAGTTTTATCAACACCAAAAATCCAAATACGAATAAGAAAAATCAAAATAACAGACAATGCAAATGTAAACACTAAACCAGGAATTGAGGCTGAGAAGTTAATATATTATCATATTTTTTTTGGTGTGTACAATTTATAGTTGTATAATTTAGTCAAAACATAAATTTGTTTCATGGTCTCAGCACTTATGTAAATATATAATTTGTAGGTAAACACATTTTTGCATAATGTTTTTACGATTTTTTTRTTATTATAAGTGCATARTACAATATTATATTATCATCTTGAACAAATATTTTTGTATATTTATGTGTTATTAATTTTGTAAATACACAAAAATAAACACAATTTAATTGTTGTTTTATTCCTT